GTTTTATTTTATCTTACTTATGTTTACCAAGTCTGCTTTTTCCTGTGTCAGATTTGAGCCAGTGTATAACAAAGGTCACATCATAGCATGATGTCAAGGTCTGAAATTTTAAATTCAGCCCTCTTTTATCCTTCCAATTATTTTGTATGCCCAGCTAATTTTTTGTAGTTTTCATTAGCTGGGCGTGGTGGCACATGCCTGTAACGCCCAGCTAATTTTTTTTTTTTTTCACTTTTAGTAGAGATGGGGTTTTACCATGTTGGCCAAGCTGGTCTCGAACTCCTGGCCTCAAGTGATCTGCCTGCCTCGGCCTCCCAAAGTGCTAAGATTATAGGTGTGAGCCACCACGTGCCTGGCTGGGGATTGGTCTTAAAATGCCATGACAGTCAGCATTAACTGGAAAGAGATAATATTGGCCCAAATGCTGCCTCTTCAAATCCAATATCCATTTTGGGGAGTGAAGAGGGAGCCTGACATTGGTTTTATGTGTGCATGCAAATGTATATGTATGTGCATGCATGTGTGTGTTCAAAGTAGTCACCTATCAAACATAATGCTGGGTACATTCACATCTTTATTATTATAGTTATTGTTACTGTCATGGCTGTTTCAATTGGTTGAGTACCTACTGTGCACTTGACATACATTAATTCCTTCATTCCACAAAGCTCTACTGTGATCATTGTTCTATACACAAGGAAAGGAAGGCAGAGAAATTAGACAACTTGCTCAACGTCAAATGTCAGTAAGATACAGAATCACAATCTAAACAGGTGTCTCTGGCCCAAAGCCTGTGATCTGTCTCTATTTTGTATTGCTTCAGAAAAGTGCAATCCCTGACCAACAATCAAGCCCAGACCGAGACTCCCTGGGCCCAGATGGTCTGGAGCAGGTGGATTGGAACTTCCCTGCAGTGCCAGAGCACATAGCAATAGAGTTATCTGAGCCCTTTGGATTAAAGATAATGAGGGAAGACTCTCCAGAGCTTTTTGTCCTGCCTTGAATCTCAGAAAAGAGATTCAAGGTAGAACAAAGAAACTTAAGGTGCTATACTGATTCAACCATATCCTTTTCATTATACTTTTATAATATATATTATTAAAAATATAGGCCAGGTGCAGTGGTTCATGCCTATAATCCCAGTACTTTGGGAGGCCAAGGCAGGAGGATAACTTGAGCCCAGGAGTTGGAGACCAGCCTGGGGAATACAGTGAAAACTTATCTCTACAGAAAGTTAAAAAAAAAAATTAGCCAGGATTTTTAGTGGAATGATTGCTTGAGCCCATGGAGATCAAGGCTCCAGTAAGCTGAGATTATGCCACTGTACTCCAGCCTGGGTAAGAGAGAGAGACCTTGTCTCAAAAGAAAAAAAAATTAAATTTGTTAAAATAATGTTATATATATCATATATCTTTTTTATGCTTTTTTGTTTTCTTATTTTTACTTTTCTCCTCAAATTTAATAATATGTATTATTAAAAATACAGGCCGGGTGCACTGGCTCATACATATATGTGTATATATATAGACAGGGTATCACTCTGTTGTCAGGTTGGAGTACAACCATGCCCATCTAATTTTTTATTTTTATAGACATGGGATTTTGCCATGTTGCCCAGTCTGGTCTCGAACTTCTGGGCTCAAGCAATCCTCCTACCTCAGCCACCCAAAGTGCCATGATTATAGTCATGAGCCATTGTGCCCAGTCTAAATATTTTAAGATGTTTTCATTTCATTGACAAACCCAATAACAATATAGCAACTATTTTTTTCTTTGGCTCCATTCATGTATGTGTGAATCTGTGTGTTTATCCTGGGAAGTCCTGGGAAAGTTCTATTTCGTGGAAAACATGCCCCAGAGGAGTTGTTCTACCCAAAGGGGAGAACGTTGAGATGCTAATCCACTGATTCATTGGTTGAGGGCTGCTCCTAAAGGTGTCCTTAACTTCTTGACATTTAGAGCTACCCTGAAGCAGATGAGCACCTATGTAGACAAAGCCTTTATGTGGAAAGTGGCAGATGCTTTCAGTAGGAAGCCATAAGTAGGAATGGCAAGTGCAAGGGACTGTGGTCAAGGCATGACAGCATCTCCTACTGAATGTGACATAAACCTGGGTGTGGTGGCTCATGCCTATAATCCCAGCACTTTGGGAGACTGAGGCGAGTGGATCACTTGAGGTCAGGAGGCTGAGACCAGCCTGACCAACATGGTGAAAAAGCCATCTCTATTAAAAAAAAAAAAAATACAAAAAATTTAGCTGGGCATGGTGGTGCATGCCTGTAATCCTAGCTACTCAGAAGCTGAGGCATGAGAAATGCTTGAACCTGGGAGGCAGAGTTTGTAGTGAGCCCAGATTGCGCCACTGCATTTTAGCAGCCTGGCAACAAAGTGAAACTCCATCTCAAAAAAAAAAGTTACATTTAAGCAAGGACTTCAGTGAACCATGGACACACAGGGAAATAATGTTTTAGCAGAGGAAATAGCCATTGCAAAGGCCCTGAAGCAGGAGCTTTCTATCTGGCATGTTGGGAGGAAAAGAAAGGAAGCCCATGTGGCTGGAGTAGAGTGAGCAAGGGGAGAGTAGGTGAGAGTAGAGAAATCATAGGAGTCATGATTATATAGGCTCTTGTGAAAGTTTTAAGGAATTGGGTTTTACTCTGAGCAAAATAGGAAGCCATTAAAAATTTGAGAAGAGGTGTAATGTGATCTAACATATTTCAGAAGGTCAACCAGGGGCAGACATAGTGGCTCACACTTGTAATCCTACCTACTCTGAAAGCTGAGGTGGAAGGATTGCTTGAAGCCAGGAGTTCCAGGATGCTAGGATCCTAGGCAGTCAGCTAGGATCATGCCACTGCACTCCAGCCTGAGCAACAGAGTAACACTTTGCCTCCAAAAAAAAACAAAAAAAAAAGTTCAGCCAGGCTGCTGTTCTGAAAATAGAGAGCAAAAGGGGAAGCCAGGAGACAAAAAGCTGTTGCAAGTGGTAAGAAGAAGTGGTCAGATTTTGAATACAGTAAGAAGGTAAAGCCTACTGAATCTCTGGACAGATTCAGGTGTGAGAGGAGAGAGGAATGAAGTACAAAACTAAGGATTTTATCCTGAGCAATTAGGCTAAAAAAGGTCATGGGTAAAGCATGTTTAGGGAGACAATTAGACATCTGGTTTTCTAGCTTACCTCTTCACCAGTGATGAAGCCTTCAGGGTGCCATCTTTATTCAGGCAGCCCCATTTCCAGCTTCCTACATGGCATGAGCTGAAGTCTTATTTCTCACACGTATGTGGATATTTAACCCTCAAGAGTAACAATGCGCTCACATACCTTCTCCTGGTCCCTAGAAGCCATAGCCAGTTCATTCACATTCTGATCACTATAGTTTTCAGTTCCTCCTTTAACTCTAGCTCCTAACAGTTCCCTTTCTTTCTTGCAAATTTTACTTTGTACACTCATCCCCTGGTATACATGTGGGATTGGCTCCAGAGCCCCTTGCATATACCAAAATCCACGCGTAAGTCCTACACTCAGCCCTGTGGAACCTGCATATACAAAAAGTTGGCTCTCCGCATATGCGGATTTCACATACCTTGAATACTGTGTTTTCAATCCACCTTTGGTTGAAAAAAATCCCATGTATAAGTAGACTTGTGCATTTCAAACCTGTGTTGTTCAAGGGTTAACTGTATTTCTTTTTTCTTTTTGTTGAGACAGAATCTTACCGTTCCCCAGGCTGGAGTGCAGCAGTGTGATCTCAGCTTACTGCGGCCTCCGCCTCCCAGGTTCAAGCAATTCTTATGCCTCAGCCTCTCAAGTAGCTGGGATTACAGGCGTGTACCACCACGCCTGGGTAGTTTTTGTAATTTTAGTAGAGACAGGGTTTCGTCATGTTTGCCAGGCTGGTCTCAAACTCCTGGCCTCAAGTGATCCGCCCGCCTTGGCCTCCCAAAGTGCTGGGATTACAGGCATGAACCACCATGCCTGGCCTCAAAGGTCAACTGTATTTAGAAGAATGTTATACTTTAGTTCCAGAGCTGGACATCACCCACCAGAAGTGATGTGATTTCTCTCACAGCTTCCCATGACAGGGCTGCCAGGTGAGCAGAACCTCCTCTCCCACTGTTGGAAGAATAACGGCAACCTCAAGGTCCTGATGAAGGCATCAGATGGGGGAGCACCCACAGAGTGCCAGGCCAAGGCCTTGGCCCACAAGAACAGAAGAGGAGTGAGATGCAATTCCAAGGAAGTGTTGAAACTTTTCACTCAGTAGAGACTCAGTTTACCAACCCAGGGGAATATTAGTCAGCCTGGAAGGCCCCAGAGGACCTGAGTTTGTTTTCTGAGCAAAGTAGTGAACTCTTTCCCTTTGGTGCCACCACCAAGAGCCCAAGCTGCAGCCTCAGAACTTGACTAGAGAGTGATATCTTCTCTCTTCCCTGTCCAGCCCTGACAGTGATCCCAGTTCCTATTTAGGGTAGATCGCCCACTTTCACTTGTGCTTAGCACAGCCTACAAAGAGAGAGAAAGTGGGGAGGGGAGGCACCCTGGTGCCTTGCGGCGGTACATGCTGCATAGGGAAGGCCGTGGTGTTCTGGGAACACACAGAGGACATGTCTCCCAGAAGCTGTTCATTCATTCCCTGGTACATGGAGCCAGCTCTGCCTGATCCCCTTCTGGGCTCAGCGACGAGACCTTATGCTCCCCTGGTTGCCAAGTGAAGGAGGGCCTCCTACTGTCTTCACTGGCTCAGAAACACAGAAAAGATGTCTTGAGGGAACTTAGGGTCTGAGGGAGCTGTGAGAAGCAGAGCTCCTCAGACAAGCTCACCACCCCCACCTCAGGATGTCTATCCAGGAAAGAGGCTGACCAATGGGACAAAGGTCTACCAGGAGCCTGGCTGAGCTACTTTTCTGCTTTCCTACTTGAGACGCAGTTCTGACCTCACACATACAAAGAGAAGATGTCCTTTCAGAGAGAAAATAAGACAAAGTTCTTAGATGAGCACTAAAAGTCCAAACTAGAAAGTTATTTTATCCTGTCCCTGCATATAAGACAGTGAATTAAAACCAAAAGTGCTCTGTGGAGATGAGCAAGGGCGTCCTTGGAGGATGCTTCTCCCAGCAGGCAGGCCATGTGTGTTCTCTGTGCTGAGTCCCAGCCTTGAAGTAGAGAGGCTGCAGCTGTGGGCAGGTGTTTGAGCAGCTCCACTACAGCAGGCTGGAGTTGCTGGTCTTGTCCTTTAAGGTACAGGTGATGAGGCTCTATTTTCTATGTGCCTGCTGGAGGCCCATCATGGTTTTCAAGTAATTATGCTGGACACAGAGGGAGGAGAAAACAGGAACTGATTAGGAGGGATAGACTTAGCAGGGACTCAGACCAGGCTACTCACATTCACCCTATCATTACTCCTGCAAACATCACGGGTTGTGGACAAGGATTCCTTCTGAGTAGCCCCAACTCTGTGAGAAATAACATTCCATTCAAACTCTTTCATTCTTTTATCCTAAAGAAAGTGTGTAAAACTGTTTTAAAACAGTCTGGCAGGCATATTTGAAAGGAGGCATGTAGGTTTCAAGGGCATACTTGAGAGTTTCTGACAGGGAATAGATTCAAAAGAAAAGAAGAGGGTTCTATCTCCAAAGGAATTAGGGGACAGGTATTGGGAAGGGCCCTCTCTTTGCCACTGCAATCAACTGGATGTTCACAAATTACACCTTCTTAATGCATCGCTAGGCTCTTAGAAAGCAGATGAAAACAGTGGGCTGAAACAGAAACAATGGGCTGTAAGGCGCCACATGCCAAAACTAGCTTGGAACATGGATATGAATCTTAGGTTCCCCACAAAGTAGAAGTCTAAATTGAAGTTCTCATATTAAACCAGAATTCTTGAAGAGAGTAAAAACGGTCCTGGGTTGATAATGCCCCATGGCTAACTGCAGAAAGCAAGTGCAAACCTTTTTAGAAAGAAGGTAATCTCAATGTATGTGTTCAGGTCTCCTTGAGCTTCAGTTCAATCAAACACAAGCTCATGATTTCAATACACACACACACACACACACACACACACACACACCCCACCATCAAGCCACCATGAGACTCAGTAAAACAGGAAACAGATTTTGACCACGAAAAATATGATCTATATATTTCTTACATTAAAAATATATATTTAAATAACTATAACAAAGAATCAAAAGAACATGGAATAGTTCAAGTATAACATCTGCATGAAAAGTTTGTGCATGAGCATATCTTTATTTTAATTTCTTTTTTCTTTTTTACCCAAGAGGTGCTGAAGGAAGGGTATATCTTAAACATTAAAAATGGCCAATACAGAGAATTCTAGAGATTGGAGAATGATGAGAGAATACAATTTTGGCCTGTAGAAATACAGGATTTCTCTGATTTAGATTTTTTTAATTTTTTTTTTTTTGAGACGGAATCTCACTCTGTCATCCAGGCTGGAGCACAGCGGTGCGATCTTGGTTCACTACAACCTCCACCTCCCAAGTTCAAGGGATTCTCCTGCCTCAGCCTCCCAGGTAGCTGGGATTACAGGTGTGTACCACCATCCCTGGCTAGTTTTTGTGTTTTTAGTAAAGATGGGGTTTCGTCATGTTAGCCAAGCTGGTCTTGAACTCCTGATCTCAAGTGATCTGCCTGCCTCAGCCTCCCAAAATGCTGGGATTACAGGCGTGAGCCACCATGCCTGGCAAGTTGCACATTTTAAATGGGGGAATTGTATGGTATGCAAATTCTATCTCAATAATGCTTTTTAAAAAGCATAAAATAAAAATTTATTTTAAATAACTAGCTGGGCACAGGGGCTCACGCCCATGATCCCAGTACTCTGGGAAGCTGAGGTGAGAGGATTGCTTGAGCCCAGGATATCAAGACTGCAGTGAGCTATGATCGTGTCACTGGAACTACACTCCCTCCAGCTTGAGTAACAGAGCAAGACCTTATTAAAAAAAAAAAAAAAGGCCAGGTGCAGTGGCTCATGCCTGTAATCCCAGCACTTTGTAAGGCCCAGGCAGGAGGATCCCTTGAGTCTAGGAAATGGAGATCAGCCTGGGCAACAGAGGGAGACCCTGTCTCTATTTTTAAAAACTGTTTTTATTTTTTTTTTAATTTTATTTGTTTTGTTGTTGTTCAAGGGATAAATCCAAGAAAAAAAAATTTTTTTAATTAAAAAGAAAAAAAAATAAGACCAAGCATATTTGAAGGAGAACCTAATACAATATTTAGACATAGGAGATTAGACATGACTAAGAGTGTATTAATAAACTAAAGCAAGAATCTAAAGAAGTTACCCAGGCTGAGTGCAGTGGCTCATACCTCTAATCCCAGCACTTTGGGAGGCCAAGGCAGGTGGATCACCTGAGGTCAGGAGTTCGAGACCAGCCTGGCCAACACAGTGAAACCTTGTCTCTACTAAAAATGTAAAAATTAGCCAGGCAGGGTGGCACACGCCTATAGTCCCATCGACTCGGGAGGCTGAGGCAAGAGAATTGTTTGAACCTGGGAGGCAGAGGTTGTAGTGAGCCGAGATTGTGCCACTGCACTCTAGCCTGGGGGACACAGTGAGACTCCATCTCAAAAAAAAAAAAAAAAAAAAAAATTAGCCAGGCATGGTGGCAGACACCTATAATCCCAGCTACTCAGGAGGCTGAGGCAGGAAAATCGCTTGAACCCAGGGGGTGGAGGTTGCAGTGAGCCGAGATCACACCACTTCAGCCTGGGCGAAGGAGTGAAACTCCATCTCAAAAAAAAAAAAGTTATCTAAACTACAGCATAGAGAGATGAGGAGCTGAAAGAAACATGGGAGATTTTAAAAGGTACAGAAGACAGAATGAAATAAAATACATCTAATCAAATTCCTAGGAGTGAGAATAGAAAGGAAAGGCATGCAGTATACAAAAAGATAATGGTTCCAATATCCCTCTCATGATTGAGAGAGGAAAAAAGCACTCAACGAATAGGAACAGAAGAGAAAGTCTTCAACCTAATAAAGAGCAGGTTCTAAGGTAAAGTTTCTAAGTGTGCTACTCCAAGTGTGGTCCTGGACTAGCAGCATTAACATCACCTGGGATTTTTTTTTTTTTTTTTTTTTTTTTTGAGATGGAGTCTTGTTCTGTCGCCCAGGCTAGAGTACAATGGCGCAATCTCAACTCGCTGCAACTGCTGCCTCTCCAGATTCAAGTGATTCTCCTGCCTCAGCCTCCCAAGTAGCTGGGATTACAGGCCAATGCCACCACGCCTGGCTAATTTTTGTATTTTTTGTATTTTTAGTAGAAGCGGGGTTCCACCACCACCTAGTGGATCAGGCGGTAACACTGATCCACTACGTGCTGGCTCACTGCAACCTCCGCCTCCCAGGCTCAGACTATCCTCCTGCCTCAGCCTCCCAAATAGCTGGGACTACAGGCACCTGCAACCATGCCTGGCTAACTTTTTTGTATTTTTAGTAGAGACGGGGTTTCATCATATTGGCCAGGCTAGTCTTAAACTCCTGACCTCAAGTGATCCATCCACGTTGGCCTTCCAAATTGCTGGGATTACAGGCATGAGCCACCACGCTTGGCCACATACTTTCATGCTTTTTTTTTTTTTTTTTTTTTGAGATGGAGTCTCACTCTGTAGCCCAGGCTGGAGTGCAGTGGCGCCATCTCCGCTCACTGCAACCTCTGCCTCACGGGTCCCGGATCAAGCAATTCTCCTACCTCAGCCTCCCAAGTAGCTTGGATTACAAGCACGAGCCACAATGCCCAGCTAATTTTTGTATTTTTTAGTAGAGACGGGGTTTCACCATGTTGGCCAGTCTGGTCTTGAACTCCTTACCTCATGATCCACCTGCCTTGGCCTCCCAAAGTGCTGGGATTACAGGCGTGAGCCACCGCGCCCGGTTTCATGCTTTCCTACTGTTTGAAACACCTGAATGTTTCACCTATTGAATATGTTAATAAATAACTACAAAAATATTTGTAAAAGAATGAACTCACTTGGGCATCTGCCCCATGTGCATCTGCCACTTGCTGTATAAGCACTTTCTCTGCACAAAGAGGAGTGTGCAGCACACAGGGCCCTCTGTGTTCTGGCTCCAGGCTGGGCCTTAGCAGAGTGGACACCCTCTGCTCCAGCCTAATCTGCTCGGGGAGGAGAGTATCCCACCCAATCTACAGCTAACGCCCATGTCTAGCTATGCCTCAGCTGCATGTGATCCTCTGTCCCCTGGCACCTATGCAGAGTGGCCCCTGTAGGGAAGGTTCTCCCTGACAGGTGGAAGCCTCAGGGGATCCCTGGGCTTTGTGCTGTGAACCATACACAGGCTAGTCAGCACTCACCAGCCATGTCCAGGTGGGGCCATGGTTGGTGGGACCCCTCTAGGATCCAGCCCAATTGCAGTCGAGTTGGCAGAAGACACCCACTGACTGAGGGTGACTGATCTCCTTGGAATGGCACCATTCCTTCCCTACCTCTCTAAAGTAAGGGATATGATCCTGGGTTTCCTAGTAATAAGGTCACTGAGGCCCCCATCCTCCTGGAGACATAGGCCTCAGAGTTACCTTCTGCTCTGTCTTGACTTTGGCATTGTAGAAGGAGATGGAATCAGGGCCCTCAGGAAGCACCCTCTGCTGCAGCTGGCTGAATTTGTCCTGGTCATCTTCTCCCTGGGGGAGGACAGTCCCTTTAGCATGGCATTGTCAGGATACACCCTGGTAGGGCCCGTGGTGGGCACCAGGGTGGTCCCTTGCTGGGCTTGTGCCACGCCCCACCAGAGCATCTCACAACCCTCCAGCCCCCATGTCTGTCAGTATCCCCACAGACAACCTGTAACTGCTGCCTGAGCAGGATGAACTTCTTTAGAAACGTGGCAGTAGCAAGAATGATATTTTCCCCCAGAAGAGATCTATGCCTGCCCACCTGCCTGGGCTGGCTGTGGAGAGGCTGGGAGCGCCACACACTGCCATGTTTGTGGCCAGAACAGAGGTCAAGGGGCACTGTCCATGCCTCATGCTCAATGACTGCCATGCCCTGCCCTTTTGTTACTCACCAAAGATACAATCCTGTTCATAGGGACCATGCCTGGCCGGATGCTGCTGCCTGGCTTCAGTGCCATCTGTATGTCCTCAGGGATGACAAAGGATTCATTGTACCAGATGTCAAATTCTACAAGGAGGCGAGAAGACAGAACCTGATGAAGCTGGTAAGGGCTGTGTGATCTCATCTGTCTTATACCTGTTTCAGGCTCACCACCTGCTCACTTCCTAGTCTCACCCTGTCCCCATCTCCATCTCTGGCCCTCACAGTCCTGGGAACCAAACATCTAAAGCCCCTGCCCAGCCCCTGTCTCTGCCAGAGAGAAACTCTGAGGGCGCTTCCAGAACTCAGGCTGTGGCCTTGCCCTGAGCCTCCCTGTACCTCAGGTGGCCAGCCAACCTTCCCAACTGTCGCACCCATGAGCAGGCGGTGGCGACACTGATCCACTAGGTGCTGGCAGTACTGAATCTCAGCCCTGAGGTCACGCAGGTCCTGGTACTCGCTTCGGTACTGCTTCTTGAGGTCTTTGAGCTTCAGGATCAGCAGGAATTCCTCCTCATCGATGATCATCAGCCCCTTGTTTTCATACTCGCCTGCAAGGTGATGGAAGAGGTCAGGAAATGAGGAAATGTCCACCAGGGGTTGGGGGAGGAAGGCATTCCAGAGGGTGGGCACAGAGCTGACAAATCATGAAGATGGGAGACCACAGGCAGGACTAGGCCATGGCAAGGAGATGGGCAAAGGACAAGAAGGCCAGGCTTCCAGGGCATGTCTCACACAGAGGGGAGCTCAGCTCAGTGGGGCCACACTGGCATTTTAGGACAAACAGGAGGGGAGGGCAGGGGAAGGTGCAGAGGGCCCATGCTCCATGCTTATTTATTTAAAATTCTATTAGCCAAAGATATTTAGTAAGCAACCCAAGTATACAAATGTCTATTTTTCTTGTAAATTACATCTACAAATAGCCTTCACTGACTAGTACTACAAGGCATTTGGGCAAGGCTCCTTATTAATAACAGCAGATATTCAAATTGTCTCTTGCTGATTTCCACATCCACCAGCTACTTTTTTTTTTCTTCATTTTGAGATGGAGTCTTGCTTTGCTGCCCAGGCTAGAGTGCACTGGCACAATCTCAGCTCACTGCAACCTCCGCCTCCCAGTTCAGGTGATTCTCCTGCCTCAGCCTCCTGAGTAGCTGAGATTACAGGCATGTGCCACCATGCCCAGCTAATTTTTGTATTTTTAGTAGAGATGGGGTTTCACCATGTTGGGCAGGCTAATCTTGAACTCCTGACCTCAGGTGATCTGCCCACCTTGGCCTCCCAAAGTGCTAGGATTACAGGCATGAGCCACATGCACAGCTCACCAGCTACCTTCTTGTTAGAGATGATTAGACATCTATATTGTGTTGAGTGGCTGTCAAAGGACTCCAGGGACAAGGGTCAGCGCTATTAGCCTCTGTGCACGTATCTTCTATGGTCTGTCAGTTCAGTGACAGTTGTTGGGCTAAGACAAAATAATACGGTGTGCAAAGCTATTCACCCTACTCTCCACTGCCCACAGCACCTGAAAGCTTAGCAAAGGCATCACATCAACTCCCATCCCCAAGTATGGGGCAAGTGTGTTCTGGTGTGACTTGAGGTGTGTGGCTGGGGTGCATGAGGCAGACCCCAGGTGTTAGAGGAAAGTGTTAGCACTTCCACTGATGTTTATTGAGAAAAAGTAAGACACATTAAAAGTCACAATGCCATTAATGGAAAAGCAAGTGTCTTGACTCTGGGATCTGGGATGTGGAGTGGGGGCTGGGAGTCACCCTCACCAGGTATCTCACCTTCAATGCAGAGCAATCTGCTGTGGTCTCTATGCTGTGGGAGGTCCCTGATGTGATTATTTGAATAAGCCACAATCCTTTACAGAGTAGAGTTTTTACAGTACTCTGCTGAGATGGGGAGTGACTGTGAACATCTTTTGTTCTACTCAGAGGATCTCTGATTATCTCCAGGAAAAAAAAAGAGTTGAATTTAGATTTTACATTTTTACATTTTTCTTTTCTTTGTTTCTTTTTCTTTTATTACTGGTCTCAAGTGATCCTCCTACTTCAGCCTCTCAAATAGGTGGGATTATAAGTGTGTGCCACCACACCTGGCAATTTTGCATTTTTCTTTTACAGAAGACTAACATTTCAAATATGTTGACCTTTCTGGGTCAGCAAGTGGCTGTCAATCATAAAGTATCTAGTAGATTGATTGATTGATTGATTGATTGATTTGGCAGGGCTTCACTCTGTCACCCATGCTGAAATGCAATGGCATGAGCATGGCTCCACTGCAGCCTCAACCTTCTGGGCTCAGGTAATCCTTTCACTGTGCCTCCCAAGTAACTGAGACTATAGGTGTGTGCCACCATGCCCAGCTAATTTTTTATGTTTTTTTGTAGAGATGGGGTCACACTGTGTTGCCCGGGCTGGTCTCTAACTCCTGTGCTCAAGCAATCCACCCGACTTGGCTTCCCAAAGTGTTGGGATTACAGGCATGAGCCACCTCGCCTGACCTAGAAGATATATATATATAGAGAGATGGAGTTTCGCTTGGTTGCCCAGGCTGGAGTACAGTGGCACAGTCTCAGCTCTCTGCAACCTCTGCCTCCCAGGTTCAAGTGATTCTCCTGCCTCAGCCTCCTGAGTAGCTGGGATTACAGGTGTGCGCCACTATGCCCAGCTAATTTTTGTATTTGTGGTAGAGATGCTGTTTCACCAGTTGGTCAGGCTGGTCTCAAACTCCTGACCTCGTGATCCACCTGCCTCAGCCTCCCAAAGTGCTGGGATTATAGGTGTGAGCCACCACGCCCGGCCAGAAGATATTCTTAAAAACAAATTTACTTGATCTGTTCAAGTACATTCAATATAATAAAGATATTTTGGTAATATTTTCATAATCATTGGAAAAATAACTACTTTTAGGGGACAGAACAAAAATGGTTTTTTTTTTGATACTGATAGATAAAATTTAAAATATTAAAAAAATTTTATGTCTTCCTCATCTCATCCTTTGAAAATGTCCACTTTCAGGTATATTTAGGAGTAAATGATATGCCAGCATAGCATGCATATATTTTATCTTAAATATGTAATAAAGGGCTGTATGTTGAAAGAAAGTTTGAGCAGAGAGGACAAAGAAATGCGTGTTTGTCCCATAAGACCTTCACTATGTCCTCTCCCTGTGGTTCTGGATAGGGGTCCGTCTACAGCCACCATCACTGGCTCCAGCTTACCAGACCTGTGGAGGGCTTTGCCCTCAGGAATAACATGTCATAATTGGTCTGTGAGGTGTGATAAGAATGGCCCCTGGCCGGGCATGGTGGCTCACACCTGTAATCCCAGCACTTTGGGAGGCCAAGGTGGGAGGATCACCTGAGGTCGGGAGTTTGAGACCGGCCTGACCAACATGGAGAAACGCCATCTCTACTAAAAATTCAAAAATTAGCTGGGCATGGTGGTGCATGCCTGTAATCCCAGCTACTCAGGAGGCTGAGGCAGGAGAATTGCTTGAATCTGGGAGGCAGAGGGTGCGGTGAGCCGAGATCATACCATTGCACTCTAGCCTGGGCAACAAGAGCAAAACTCCATCTCAAAAAAAAAAATAGAGTGGCCCCCAAGAATTAGAAAACAAAGTTGCCCTCTGAGAATCAATTGTTTAATATTTTTTTTCCGAGACAGTCTTGGTCTTTCACCCAGGCTGTAGTGCAATGGTGCAATCTTGCCTCACTGCAACCTCTGCCTCCTGGGTTCAAGCAATTCTTGTGCCTCAGCCTCCCAAGAAGCTGGGATTACAGATGTATACCACCACACCCTGCTCCTTTGAGAAAACAAATGAGTAAAATGCAACCACTGTGAGATGATCCATCTGACTTGCAGGAATAAACTAGGTGACATCTGGAGATCACTCATGAAAGCTGGCCTGGCATCCACATTCTTGTTCCCTTCCTTGATTTTTCATAGTCCCTACCAGCAGCTCCACCTCCATCTAACCACCTGGGGCAGTGAGGAAATCACACCAGGACCCACGGACCTTGTAGAGGTCACCAGCTACCCATCGTCTCCCAGGGATACCTCTGCAGGACCAAGGGCCTGTTTCATTGTGGACAGTAGCACATATCAGGTGGAAGGCCCAGCACCAAGGTCTGAGATAATGCAACAATGAGGGACCCACAGGCAGAGGCTGGCTGACAGGGAAGGACCCTGTGGCTCTCAGGGGCTGACCACGGCCAAGTGATCTGACCCATGGGTCAAGGCCACACCCCAGCACCCCCGCGACCCCCCCTCCCATCTCAGTCCTCCAGTGCCCACAGCTGTCCTCCTTCAAGCAGCATGACTCTGAGACCCCAAAGTTCCCTAGCTATCTTTCCATCACATTTACCTTGCTTCTCCCGTAGTGACTTCTGGAAATTCAGGGCCTCCATGGTCACATCAATCTCCCGCTTGATGGCATTGATGCGCTGTGTGGTCTCGCTGGCCCTTTTTCTCCGTTCGTTCAAGATGGATTTGTTTTCTTTGAAAATGCGGTTGATCTCACTACCTCGCTCGTTCTTAAACTCCTCAAAGGCCACTGGTTTGGAGGGTGGGGTGTCGGGCCTGGAGACACAAGGGTGAGGCCAAGGAGGATAAATGAGGTGGCTGCCTTAGGGCCACCAGGCACTTCATCTTTCATCCCTGGGGCTTCTGTGGGCAGGAGGCAGAAGTGCTAGGTACCACTGACCCCAGACAGGAGCTATACTGTGTAGGAATCACTCCCTCCTCTTCGATTTACTGAGCACATGTACAAGGACATATGCCCATGACAGAAAGTGAGGAAAGCAAGGAAAAGTATAAGAAACAAACAAGAAAGAAAAACCACTTACTACCTATTGGCAACCATACAATGGCATACAGTGGTATATCTCCTTCTGGATTTCTTTTATAAACATATATATATCTGTATATATATATTTTTGGAGACAGGGTCCTGCTCTGTTGCCCAGGCTGGGGTTCAGTGGCTCAATCATAGCTCACTGCAGCCTCGAGCTCCTGGGCTCAAACAGTTCTCCTGCCTCAGCCTCCTGAGTAGCTCGAACTACAGACATGTGCTCCCATGCTCAGCTTGATTTTTTGTAGAGATGGAGTCCCACTATGTTGCCAGGCTGGTCTCCAACTCCTGAATTTAAACAATCTTTTTGCCTTGGCCAACCAAAGTGCTGGGATTACAGGCATGAGGCACCGGGCCTGGCCTCTGATATATTTTTGAATGGTTGAGGCCATGCAGTATGTTTAATTTTACATCTTACTTTTTTTTAGCGTAAGGTGAAGTGTTGGGGCAAGGGAAAGTAGATTGATGTGGGCAACTTTGAAATGCATAAAAAAAAAATAACATGGAGGGATAGAAGGACAGAGGCATAATGAAACAAACAGAGTAACATGTAAATTGTAGAACTGGGAGGATGCTTGGTGTACAGGTGTTCGCTGTACAATTATTTCAACTCCTCTGAATGTTTAGAAATGTTCAGAGGCTGAAATTCTTCATGTACCCCAATGGCGGAGAACAATTCACTTAGTGCCCTTTCCCTAGTGTTGGCTACTGAAGTGTTTCAAAAATATATAATTATGCTTTTTAAATAAATGATGAAATAAGTATCTGTTGTATAGATCTTGTTTTACATCTCTATTTCCTTAGGATAGATCCTTAAAAACTCATCAGGGAGAGGGGCTGAGTGATTCGAGAAAAGGGAAGAGGTTATATTCTTTCATACCTTAAAAATGTTTAATCTTTTGAATGCAGTACTTGTACAAAAGATACGTAACTTTATTTAAATAATTGCTAACTGGAGGGTCTAAAATGATTCCATATTTAATTGTTCATCTTGGATGACTCCTGAGGTTAGATCATTTTGCAGGTGCATAAGTCATTATGTTTCTTCTTTGGGGACTGTGCTCCTAGTCTTTACCTATTATTTCTTTTTTTTCCTTTTTTTGTTTTTTAGACAGAGTCTTGCTCTGTCACCCAGGCTGGAGTGCAGTGGCATGATCTCAGCTCACTGCAACCTCTGTCTCTTAGGTTCCAGTGATTCTCCTGCCTCAGCCTCCTAAGTAGCTGGGACTACAGGCATGCACCACCATGCCCAGCTAATTTTTCTGTATTTTTAGTAGGGACGGGGTTTCATGTTGGTCAGGCTGGTCTCAAACTCCTGACCTCAAATGATCCGCCTGCCTTGGCCTCCCAAAGTGCTAGGATTATACGCATAAGCCACCACACCTGGCCTATTCCTTATTTTATTCCTCTTTTATCTGCAGCCACTGTTTACATGTTGAGGATCACATACTGGTTTTGTTTGATCTGGTGCGGAAGCTAACATTAACTGATTACCTAATTGGGCGTACTTCCTCCTTGGGGGAGTCTGAGAGAGGGGGCTCAATGCTGGAGGTTTCCCGGTCCCGCAAAAGCATGTCTTTGACATCCCCATCCTTGGAGGATGGGACCAGCTGGGTCTTGGAGGTGGAAACCATATCCAAGTCCTTGGCACTCACAGGGCTGCTGGCACCTTCCTTTTTTGCTGAGGAGCTGGAAAGAGAAGGCAGGGAAGCCCCAGGGTTCAGTCATGGGCAGTGAGGTATCTCAGATGCTAGGATGAGTGACCCTTCTCAACACTTACTACACTGGGAGCCCACCCCACTCAGCTCCCATTTTGTTCATATTCCCAGGTAAAAGTGCAAATAGTGTGATGCTAAGCCAAGCAGATGTGGAGAAAGAAGATGGCATTTTTCTCCCTTTTATCAGAACAAGGAGCCCTCAGTGGTCTTGGCAGGAGACGCTTGGGAAAAATGGGTACAATATCCATGGATTGAAAGTGTATGGACCTGTGGGATGGGCCACAGGTTCTCAAGAACCACCATGGCTGCTGAGGTCTGAGTCATAGGAGCATCCTGGGGAAGGACTGGCAGAGGCCCACACAGGGTGGGTCTGTCTGTGGACCAATGGTACAGCAGGATGGCTCTGCCCTGCTGTGCTTACTGGTCCACACCCTGTTCTCCACACCAGCTCCCAGAAAAGTAGCTGTCCTCCCTGCCAAAGGAATGGTGCTTGGTGCTTGTCTCCCAGGAGAGGCACATCTAAGGACCCAATTGGCAGGAGGATGCCCATGGCTCTTCCCAAAGGCCTAAGTATAGAAAATCTGTTTCTTCCTCTTTCCTCCTTTTTACAACAAGTGTGGCTCAGGGGACTGAGCCTCAACCCGCTGACTACTGCACGGATTATCCGGCAGCAGAACAGAGAGGGCTGGGGTGCGACTGCACTCCTGAAGAGGCAGAGGAGGCCAGGGACACCAGCATCCTCTACTTCCTGACTCTTGTCCTGCGTGTAACAGTTTTCTACAATCAGCTCTGGCCCATGTGCAGGAACTATGCTCACTCACTCATCCTCACGACAACCCCAATGACTTGGATGCTATTATTATTATTCCCATTTTGGAGATGCGGAAACAGGCACAGAGCAGTTCTCATGCCTCACACAAGGTGACCCCTTGGGTGTGAGAAGTGCAGAGCAGGGAGGGGAGCCCGGGTGTCAGCTCCAGAGCCTTTGATCTTACCCACCACTACACAGGACCCTGGGAGAGTAGGCTCACTAAGTGAACCTAAATGCCCTTCTCACCTTGCACATACAAACCAGTCTTGCCTGAAAGGTGAACTGGGGTTTTAGGTGACCTGAGTGCCAGTCAGTGGGAGGACTCCGGTGAAGTGAGGGGAGGGGGTACCACATAAAGTGCCAGAGGGCATGGGCTTTGGAGAGCTGGTCCAGCTTCTTACTGCCATTCTACGACTCACTGGCGGTATGGCCTTGGTGAGTGACTTCCCCTCTCTAAGCCTCTGTTTCCTCATCAGTATAATGAAGACATTTACCCCCACCTCACCAAGTTGATGTGAGGAGAGGTGATTCTTGTGGGGTTCCAAACCAGCCCCAGCCTGGGCCCCACAGACTTACTAGAATTGGTAGCAGTGACATCCATTGCACCAACCCAGTAGCTGAGACACCAGGGGGAAGGTGGGAACAGCGCACGCTCTCCCACTTACCCACCAAGGAGGGCCAGCTGCTGAGGAGGCAGAGCAGCAAGGTCACTCACCTGAGTGGCTCTTTGGATGTCTTCTTGGACTTGGCTTTCTTTCCGGGTTTGGTAGAGAAAGGGGCGACTCCGAGTCCAAAGCTTTGTCCTTCAGGCTCACCCACTAGGTGGCCATCAACATCCACAAGCCCTGCCTGCGTAGAGAGGCCAGCCAAAGTCTGTGAGTTAGATTAAGGGCTTGGGCCCCTTGGGGGCCCATGTTTATATGGCTCAAGGCTCAGAGTGGACATGTTCACCCTACACACCAAGGTTTGGCTGCTGCTGATGCCAGCCTCAGGTTGTCCCCAGTAGCGCAGTCCTTGAGCACCCTGCCAAATGTCCACTTTCCACATGAACCCCCTCACCAATATACTGATTCCATACTTTGGGTATCTTAAGGCTTATCTCCAACCTAATTCCAGGAATTTGTCTTTGATATTATTATCCATGTCTCTACCTTATGGAAATTATTTGTAATTCAAAAGTGGTTTACTCTTACACAGGTCACCTGTGCTCATTCTGGTGTTACCTTTATCTGTTGGAATCCTAGCTCTGGTTTAATGCATAATACTTGCTGGCTTTGCAAACGTCTGAGGATGGAAAATCTGAGCTGAGTGCTGTTGGCAAGAGACAATTATGCTTACCTTCTGGACAGCAGAAATGGCTGCAAAGTCATTCTTGTCAATAAGGGTGTACTTCCTGCGCAAAGTGGACTCCACTTCCTGTTCCTGTTGGCTTGGGAGACAGCATGAGAGAACAGCTTGCACCTGGGGCCATGCTGAATCCACTGGGGCAAGAACCAAGTACTGGGGTTAAAAGTCATATGGGCAAGGTCCCTTGCGTGGGGCTACACCTTCATTATGAACCAGACTAGACAAAAGGACAAAGGACTCATTTCCCTCTGCCCCAATGCATACACCTATCATCTACCCCCCAACCCACGGGGGCCACCTTATGCCATGTGTGTCTGCTGCAAGATGACACTTGATAAGGACTGTAAGCTTCACTTCGGACCATGTGGGGTTCTGTCTTAGGTTCTGTCTCTAAGAGACCCCTTGGAATCATGTGACCAGCTTTTGTGATACCACCTTTTGTGAGCATAAGCTGTTTAGACTATGGGTATGTTTGCACCCAAATAAACCACAAATGCCTCCTGAGGTGAAGGTGTGTGTGGCAATATTCACAAGGTGAATATTCACAATGCCCTGTTCTGGGCACACTCAGAGCTGACACTCCATAAACACCTCCTGTCCAATTAATGAACTCACTGAATATTCACCAGGGATCCAGGCATGCCCCAAGGACTGATTTGGCTCTTCATCCACAAGCAAGAAGGGGGTGCCCTTGGAGGCAAGTACCCAGACCACAGGAAATAAAAATGGCAGCCTGACTGTAGGAGTGAAGCAGGGGTGAGGGTCTCTTACCTCAGAACCACCCGGAACTGGTTGAACACCTCCTTGATCTGTCTAAGGTTGATTATCTGGAGGGAAGAGAGCAAGGCAGAGGCTAGACCAAGGGCACCTAGAGAGACCAGGCTGCATCTGTTAGTAGAGAAATCAAGACCACATGGCTGACCCCTGGACCATCTGTCTGGAGAAGAGGACACCTGCACACAGCCTCTCAGCAAAGTGGCAGCCAAGCCCTCCTCCAGAGCAGAGAAACACCTGATTAATCATTTTAAAACTGTGTATTTGCTGAGGCTATAAAAACCACCTCTTCTAAGTGGAGACCTCTATAAAATGAAAATGATTCTCTACCTTGAAAATACTTTCTAAAGTTTTTTTTTTTTTTTTAAATAAAATCTATTTCCTCACCTTTCTCTTACTTCCAAAAGGTCCCACCTGCTGTCTTCGGATGGAGCCCATATATGGATCTGTCTGCGTGAGCACGGACACACACATATGCGGCTGGAGGAAGGTTACTGTCTTCCCCGGCCCTAATGCCCACAGCATTCCCCTTGATCAAGGGTTAATTTGGGACTGCCTCTCCTGTGAAGGCCAGAAGAGTCCATCCTTAGTTGTCCCAGGCCCACCGCTTGCAGCTGCTCACAGTAACAGCCGGGGGTCTGCCCATGTCTCCAAGAAGAGGGGTTTGATGGACGTAGTGTGAAAACAGGATGCAGCCTTCCCCCTGAGGGCCCTGCCTTGTGGGGCTCTGTTTCTCCCTCCTTGGCCTACTTCAACTTGGGTCCTGGGGTCTACCTTGTAGACAGCCAGCATGACCACCATCCTTTCTCAGCTTCATTCTGCAGGCACAGTCAAGCACCCCAGGTGCAGCAGCTCAGTAAATCCCAGCTCCGTTTCCCTCCCCAATGGGTAGGTGAGGCCACTGAAGTACATGAGGTTGAGCATTTTGCCAAGGTCACTCAGCAAAGAGGCAGCTGAGCTGGGGTTCAATCCCAGCTCCAGGGCTTGTGCTTGCGCCCCTGAGATGGGCTGAAGGGTCCCTGACATCAAGAGTCCAGCATCACCCTCCATCCACTGTATCCATTCATGTGAGGTTCTGAGGCCAGCATAGCATGTGTTGGGCTGTGCCCAGGACAGAGAGGCCGAAGCTGGCTAAGCAAAGGGGTCACAGCGGGGTTCCTTACATCAATCTCATCCAGCGTCCCCTCCAGGTACCTTCGCACCTGGGAGTTGATCTCAGCAATCTGGATTTCATCCATGGGGTCATAGGTCACAAAGGTGCGGCTGGTCTTGAAGGAGGATAAAGAACATGTGGATAAGTAACAAGAACCTGAGCCCACGCAGGAGTGACAGGAGGCGTTCTGAGAGCCAAAGTAGGGAGTCTAGGCATAGTCCCTGGCTGCCTAAGCTGGCTCGTTCCCTTCATCATTGGCTCCTGGCAGACAGCCTGACACACAGGCCAGGTGCTTGGGTCAGAGACGGATAACGGGGTCGGGGAGGAAAGGAAAGGCCCTCAGACATGGGGCCTGCTACTCCAGACAGTGGCTCTGCTGGCTGAGTCCCAGCAGACTCTGCATCATGAGAGTCATAAGGAGCAGGAGGCATGTGCTTCCTCTGCCTGGAGGCCCCTCAGGACCATTGGAGGACTCTGCCCCCACTGCCTGCCCTCATAGCCCCTTGCTGCTGCCCCTTTCCTGCCACTCAGCCTGTCCCGCCCCTGCCACTGGCCTTGACCCATCATGCTGTCTGCCCTCAGCCCCAGTCCCTCTAGTCGCCCCTACGCCAGCACCTCTGCCTTCCTCCCTTGCCTCTTACCCTTACCAGGCTGTCATGGATGGCCAGTTCCTGCTTGAGCAGTGCTAGTTCCTTCTCCAGGTTCTTGACCATTCTCTGCCGGGAAACATGGTGGGGTGGGGGCCGACAGGAAGGGTCGTCAAAGAAGCTACCCCGTCTCTTTCACACCAAGAGCACAATTCCTCATTCTGTGCCCAGACATCCCAGCCATTCCTGGATCCACAGGCTATGCTTTCAGCTTCTGGCCATTCCCTCCTCACTGATGACTCGTACTCAGCTGGTATGAGTTTAGGGAGCTGGGGAAGAGTCCAGTGAGTTCTGGGAGGACCTCAACAGTCCCTTGGCCTTTGCTGCTTCCAGCAGAAGAGACAGCACAAGCCATAGGGCCACCTCAAACCCCAACTCCCAGGGGCCCCAACTACCAGGTAGAGGATAATGGCCCTTTTGGTGCAGCCTACAGGCTCCAGAATGCTTTTCTTCTTTTCTTTTCTTTTTTTTTTTTTTGAGAGGGAGCTTCGCTCTTGTCACCCAGGCTGGAATGCAATGGCAGAGTCTCAGCTCACTGCAACTTCTGCCTCCTGGGTTCAAGAGATTCTCCTGCCTCAGCCTCCCAAGTAGCTGGGATTACAGGTGCCTGCCACCACACCGGGCTAATTTTTGTACTTTTAGTAGACACAGGGTTTCACTATGTTGGCCGGGCTGCTATCAAACTCCAGACCTCAGGTGATCCACCTGCCTCAGCCTCCCAGAGTGCTGGGGTTACAGGCATGAGCCACCGCACCTGGCCCCAGAGTTGTTTCCTTTTAGAAACAGGCTCTCACTCTGTTCTCCAGGCTGGAGTGCAGTGGCACTATCATGGCTCACTGCAGCCTCAACCTCCTGGGCTCAAGCAATCCTCTCACCTCAGCCTCCTGAGCAGATCATACTACTGTACACACTGCCCTACCCAGTTAATTTTTGTAGAGACAGGGGTCCCACCATCTTGCCCATGCTCGTATCAAACTCCTGGGCTCAGGCAATCCTCTCGCCTCGGGTTCCCAAAGGGCTGGGATTACAGGTGTGAGCCGCTGGGCCTGGCCTCCACAATGGTCTCTATGCATGGTTACAACGCTCATCCTTTACCCTCATCCTCACCAACCACTGCATGAGCATGTCACCACTCCCCAGTGATAATCAGGTATTTCACCTTTAATTTTTTTTTTTTTGAGATGGGGTCTCACTCTGTCACCCAGGCTGGAGTACAATGGTGTGATCTTAGCTCATTGCAACCTCCACCTCATGGGTTAATGTGGTTCTCCTGCCTCAGCTTCCTGAGTAGTAAGGACTACAGGACGCACCACCATGTCCAGCTAATTCTTTTATTTTTTAGTAGAGATGGAGTTTCGCCATGATGGCCAGGCTGGTCTTGAACTCCTAACCTCAGGTGATCCAACCGCCTTGCCCTCCCAAAATGCTGGGATTACAGGTGTGAGCCACCGTGCCCAACCTCACCTCTAATTTTTTGCTGCTTACAAACAATGCTGCAAGAACATTGTCATACTCATGTATTTATGTCCTTATAGATTTCTGTAGAATAACACAGTGATCTATGAGGGTTTTTGAGATCTGCCCCCATTGCTTCTTTTCTGCTTCTCTCCCCTGGTAAACGCCAACCACTTCCACAAGTTGGTATGCTCCTGCCTCTGCACTGCCCATCCTCTGCCCTGGGATGTTCTTCTCCTAGGTATTTCCAAGACTCATTCACAGTCAGGCACAGTGGCCCACGCCTATAACCCCAGCACTTTGGGAGGCTGAGGTGAGTGGATCACCTGAGGTCAGGAGTTTGAGACCAGCCTGAACAATATGGTGAAACCCCATCTCTATTAAAAATACAAAAATTAGCTAGGCATGGCAGCATGCGCCTGTAGTCCTAGCTACTTGGGAGGCTGAGGAAGGAGAATCACTTGAACCTGGGAGGCGGAGATTGCAGTCAGCCGCGATTGCACCACTGCACTCCAGCCTGGGTGACAGAATGAGACTCCGTCTCAAAAAAGAAAAAAAAAAAAAGACTCATTCACTTACCTCCTTAAAATCTTTGTTCAAAAGCTCCTAAATTAGGTGCACCACAATTACTCTTTAAAATTGTAATTCTGGCCAGGTGTGGTGGCTCACACCTGTAATCTCAGCACTTAGGGAGGCCGAGGCAGGTGCATCACCTGAAGTCAGGAGTTTGAGACCAGCCTGGCAAAACCCATCTCTACAAAAAATACAAACATTAGCCAGGCGTGGTGACAGGCGCTTGTAATCCCAGCTACTAGGGAGGCTGAGACAGAAGAATCGCTTGAACCTGGGAGGCGGAGGTTGCAGTGAGCTGAGATCATGCCACTCCACTCCAGCCTGAGTGATAAAGTGAGACCCCGTCTCAAAAAAAAAAAAAAAAAAAAAAAAATTGTAATTCCTTCCCTACCCCTGCAACATGCTTTAAAAATCTCTAATGGGCAGGGCGCAGTGGCTCGCACCTGTAATCCCAGCACTTTGGGAGGCCAAGGCGGGCAGATCACAAGGTCAGGAGTTCAAGACCAGCCTGGCCAATATGGTGAAACCCCATCTCTACTAAAAATACAAAAAAATTAGCCAGGCATGGTGGCACTTGCCTGTAATCCCAGCTACTCGGGAGGTTGAGGCAGGATAATTGCTTGAACCTGGGAGGCGGAGGTTGCAGTGAGCCGAGGTCACACCACTGCACTACAGTTTGGGCAGCAGAGAGGCTCCATCTCAAAAAAATAAAATAAAAAACAAAAACAAAAATCTCCAATGTTTTTTCATAGCACGTTTTGCCCTTTAATATATTCTAGATTAGTGCTGTCTGATATAATTTTCTGTAATGACTGAAATGTTCCATATTTGTGCTGCCCAGTATGGTAATGACAAGCCACATACAACTACTGAAAACTTGAAATGTGGCTAGGGTGCTTGAAGAAGTAATTCTAATTTTAATTAATTTAAACAGCCACATTTTGAGTAGCAGTTACTGTCTTAAATGGCGAAGCTTTAAAACTTACCTATTTATTGTTATTAATTTTATGTACCTCCCCTACTCCCAAGAGACTGCAAGCTCAGAGATTTGTGTTTCTGTTCATGCAGTCAGATATCCCAAGTGCTTTAAAAAGCGCCTGGCACATAGTAAGCACTCCATAGATTTTAGGTAAGTAAATAAATGATACATTTTGAGGAGAATTGCTAAGTCATTTTATATTTGATAGATACTATCTGACTGTCTTCCCTAAAAGAGGCACAAGGAACTTCAAGCAGAGAACCCTCGCTGTGAACAATCAGACTTCCTTTAGTTGTCATAAAAGGGCCACTGGAGGGAGCCCCTGACACCTGGATCCTGGGACTGGTGACCAAAACTATGACCAGTCCACCGCCCCACTGGCCCTCTCCCAGACCAAAGGCCTGCTGTACTCTAACCTTCATCTAACCAGGTCACCTGGGCACCGAGGCCCATCTGCCCTCACATAGCAAGGGTCAACAGAACCCTTGGTATCTTGATGGCTCTGTGGCAATTCAGGCAGAAAGCCTGGAACCCAACGCATGTGACCAGTGTCCAGATCCTGGATCTGCCCCTCTGGGAAGCCCCAAGCAGGTCTCCTTCAGGGGTGAGCTTCCTGTGGGATCAAGTGGGGAGGCTTGGTAGCCAGTCCCACCTGTCCATATATCCCTCCTTCTCCCAGCCCTAGAAAATATATCATGGCCCAGCTATAGAAAGTTTGAGCCGTCAGGTGCCTCCAGCTTGATGACTGTTCAGGGAGGCACAGCAGAGCCAAACTTATATGTCTGGGCCAATCAGAAGGTGATGTAGGAGGCTGGGCACAGTGGCTCATGCCTGTAATCTCAGCACTTTAGGAGGCCCAGGCAGGCAGATCACTTGAGATCAGGAGTTCAAGACTAGCCTGGACAACATGGTGAAACCCCGTTTCTACTAAAAATACAAAAAAAAAAAAAAAATAGCCGGGCGCAGTGGCACATGCCTGTAATCCCAGCTACTCAGGAGGCTGAGGCAGGAGAATCACTTGAACCTGGAAGATGGAGGTTGCAGTGAGCCAAGATTGTGCCACTGCACTGCAGCCTGGGCGACAGTGAGACCCTGTCACAAAAACAACAACAAAAAAAAAAGGGGCATTTTTTAGATAGAAAAAATGCCTTAGAAACAGCACAGACACATGTAAGTTTCCTAACAGGCATTTTCATCATAAATGTAATGAGGATAATTCAGAGAGTTCTGTGTAAGCTGCACAACAGGCTGTGGGGAAGCTCTCGGCTCAGGCAGTTTTCCGACTTTCATCCCACCGCAGCTTGCCGGGGTATCTTCTCTTGGCAGAGTGGGGTACACTAAGTTTCTCTCTGCTGTCTGTTTATGCCTGAGGCTCACAGCTCTTTACATCACTTCACAGAATCACAGACTGACAGAGTGGGAGGGTCACTGGAGGTCATCAGGCCAACCTCCTTGTTCACAAAGGACAACCCAGAGGCTGAGAGGGTCAGAGCAACTCGCCACAGAGAGCTCGTGGTAGAGGTGGATTAGGAACCCAGTCTTCTGCCTTATAGCCAGCCCCACCCGCCAAAGAAATTCTGAAGAAGCAATTCCATCCCCTTGAAAACAGGTGTCAATGCCAAAGACAGTGCTGAAAATGACCTGAGAATACTGGCTACAGTCTAGGAAAAGCAGTAACCAAAATAATTTTTCCACTTCTCTCTCAAGAACTCATGTTTGTAAAGAAAAATGTTAAACAGAAAGATTATAAACACATTCACACTGGATGGCACAGAGACTCACTTGGCTGTCCAGGACCAACCGTGCAGATCTTAGAACAGAAATTACATGAAAGAGCATGATCCTCCAACTTCACAAGGCATGGCGGCTCATACCTGTAATCCTAGCACTTTGGGAGGCTGAGGCAAGAGGATCCCCCAAGTCCAGGAGCTCAAGACCATCCTGGGCAACATAGGGAGACCCCGTTGCTACGGGAAAAAAAAAAAATTAGTCAGGTGTGGTGGTGCAGGCCTGTGGTCTCAGCTACTTGGGAGGCTGAGGTGGGAGAATTGCTTGAGCCGAGGCAGTTGAGGCTACAGCAAGCCATGACTGCACCACTGCACTCCAGCCTGAGTGACAAAGTAAGACCTTGTCAACAAATAAAAAATAGGGGCATGAAAAACCTTATAGACAGGTACAACGTCCACCCAGCCAGGTTCACAGGTAGCAATGTTGATAATCCTGAGCTAAGGGAACACCAAAGAAGAAAAGATAAGAGGGTCAGGCACAGTGGCTCACACTTGCGATCCCACCACTTTGGGAGGCTGAGGTGGGCGGATCATGAGGTCAGGAGTTGGAGACCAGCCAACATAGTGAAACCCTGTCTCTACTAAAAATACAAAAACTAGCTGGGCGTGGTGGCAGGTGCCTGTAATGCCAGCTACTCAGGAGGCTGAGGCAGGAGAACCTCCTGAACCCAGGAGGTGGAGGTTGCAGTGAGCTGAGATGCCACTGCACTCCAGCCTGGGTGACAGAGTGAGACTCTGTCTCAAAAAAGAACAAAAGAAAAAGAAGAGATAAGAAAAGCTTCAAGAATACAGAAAAGCATATAAAATAATGCCATTAAACCTGAACAAACCACCCCAAAATGTGACTTCAACAGCATGCTGTCATATTGGCCTCAGGGTTGTTGTTTTTGTTTGTTTGTTTGAGACAGAGTCTTGCTCTGTTGCCCAGGCTGGAGTGCAGTGGCATGATCTTGGCTCATTGCAACCTCTGCCTCCCAGGCTCAAGCGATTCTCATGCGTCAGCCTCCTGAGCAGCTGGAATTACATGTGTGCACCACCACACCTGGCTAATTTTTCTATTTTTTAGTAGAGACATGGTTTCTCCATGTTGTCCAGGCTGGTCTCGAACTCCTGGCCTCAAGTGATCTGCCTGCCTCGTTCTCCTAAAGTGCTGGGATTACAGGCATGAGCCACTGTGCTTGACCCAGGGATTTTTTTTTTTAAGAAGTAAAACATTTCAGATAAATGTGAAGCTTCTGTATGCCATATTCCAAATCCACTCCCTTCCCATCCCAAAAGGTACCTCTGGCCTCAGTCTGGGTGTTTCCATGCCATGCATTTTTTCTTTTACTGCACACACTTATAGCCATTATTGATATCAGCATCTCTGCATGTTTTTATATGTGGTGTAAATAACAGAGGCTGTCATTTGGGCCACTTCAGGCATCTAGTTTTTTTCTCATTTGAGATATATCCATGCTGGTAGCTCTAGCTCTGGCTCCCTCATCCCACAACTCATTTAGCTACTCTTCTGTTAAAGGATATTGATTATGTTCCTAATTTTTCACGATTACAATAAGTACTATAAAGAGTCACTGTTTAATCACTATTACAATAACTCTTTGAAGAGACTTACAGACTCTATAGACGAATGGCGCTCACAGTGCTTGCTGTAATAGTGACTTCTATAGTCTCTCACCTATGTGAGAATGTCTCTAGACTATACACACCTAGAAGCAACACTGCAGATGGGGGAGGAGTGCTGACTGATATTCACTGAACATTTACCCCATGACAGCACTATGCTGAGAGGTTTCTGCACATTGTCTCGTTCTTCATAAGATCTCTTTGAGCATGGATTCTGTTATCTACCCAATTTACAAATGAAGAAACTGAGACTTAGAAAGCATAGGTATTTTGGCTGGGCTTGGTGGCTTATGTCTGTAATCCCAGCACTTTGGGAGGCCAAGGCTGGTGGATCACCTGAGGTCAGAAGTTCGAGACCAGCCTGGCCAACATGGTGAAACCCTGTCTCTAATAAATACACAAAAATTAGCTAGGTGTGGTGGTGGGTGCCTGAAGTCCCAGCTACTCGGGAGGATGAGGCAAGAGAATGGTTTCAGCCCTGGAGGTGGAGGTTGCGGTGAGCTGAGATTGTACCACTGCACTCCAGCCTGGGCGACAGAGCAAGACTCTGTCTCAAAGAACAAAAAAACAAATATTAGCTGGGCATGGTGGCACATGCCTATAATCCCAGTTACTCAGTAGTCTGAGGCAGGAGAAGGACTTGAATCCAGGAGGCAGAGGTTGCAGTGAGCTGAAATCGTACCACTGCACTCCAGCTCGGGTGACACAGGGAGACTCTGTCTCAAAAAAAAAAAAAAAAAAACAAATATCAACTCTAGGTATTTTGCTGAGACTATATACAGCTAACAGAGGAAAGAGCAGAGTGCTAAACCTAGGGGAGCCCAATCCAGCTGCCATGGCCTTCACTAGGATGCCAGTGGTTCTCAAAGTGTGGCCCCAAGAGAGCAGGTATCGGTGTCATAAAAGGGCCTAAAAACTTACTAGAAATGGGATAGAAGCCGACCTTAAGATGAAAAATTTTTAAAAGAAAAGAAAAAAAATCGGGAATCAGAAACTCTCAGAATCACTGGGAATGGATCTAGTGATCGGTGGTTCCGCATCAGCCAGGCGATTCTGATGCTTTCTCACGTGAGAACAGCTGTTCCAAGCCCCACTTCCTCCCCAGTCTCCAAACCATGGGTTTGTTCCACAGAGCCACAGGGACGGTCATTTTCCTTCAGGATTTAGAATCTGAAAAGTTTAACTGGCTTGTCAACCTTAGGGCTTGCAAATCCTCCTTTCTCTGTGAGCTATGATTCCATAAGCATCTTAGAGGAAAGCCAAATTAACAATAAATGTGCTTTCACTATACAGATGTTGCCGGAATGATCTCCAAAGTGGTTGTATCAATTACACTTTGACCAGAAGTGGACAAGAGTTTCCATTTCTCCACATTCTCATCATCATCCTAGTTTTTGCTAAGTTGAGGGTAGAATTCCACTGAGGTTTTAATTTGTATTTCCCTGGTTAATGGTGATGCTGAGCACCCCCTCTGATTGGCCAGCTCTGTTCTGTAGGGACATAGCCAGGTGATTCTGAAAGATGGTCCACACCACTTTAGCCCTTAGCTCTAAGGAAATCTCATGTAGAAGCCTACAGCACCCAGAGTTCCTAGAGCCCCACATGTGACCTTGTTGGTGGCCTGACCTTGCCCTGTCACCCCATGTCAGCCCCTAAAGGTCTCCAGGGACTCTGAAGACTCTGGTCAGTCCAGGGGTGGAAAGGGACTGACCCAGGGCTGCATGGGGATCTTTGGTTGAGGCAGGAAGGGAAGCCAGGCTTGTGTGACCCAGGTACCAAACCCACACACCTTCCCCACAGTGGGACAACTGCCTGCAATCCCTGCTGTACCTCAGCGTCATACTTTTCATTGATGGCAGGCTCAGTGGTGACTAGCCTCATCCTGCTGGCAAATCTCAGTGAAGACAGCTGAAAAACAGACCAGGTAGACGTCAGATGGCTGGCCACTAACATGAGGCCCCAAGAGACCAGCCTTCTCAGAGACCCTGCCTGCCCTTTCCTGGCTCCTCAGGCTCCCTTGTCAACCCGTGTTGGTTCCCTTCCCCTGGAGGACATTGGCGAAAAGGGTTCTTGGGTATGAGGTCCCATGAGAAGAGCAGGAAGCTGACAGAGGGCACATATGGCAGCCTGGTCCTCGTCATGTAAACTATGAGGATACATACTGGTCTATTTCTTCATCCAAACCTGACCATCTTCTACCTCTAGGCCTCTGCTCAGGCAATCCCTGTCTGGAGTACCCTTTTCTGTCCTCCTATGCTGTCTGCCTTCCACGTTCCACTCTTTTTTCAAGGCTCAGCTGAAAACCAGCTTCCTTCTTGAAGCCCTCTTGGTTTTCCTTCACATGAAAGGTCTCTGCTCCTTCCACAAACAGTGTTCTGCCTCCTTCATGCAATTTTCAGGGTCTAGATCAGCTATGTCCAACAGAGATATAATGCAAACTACAAATGTAAGTCATATGTGTAATTTTACATTTTCTAGTAATCATAGGAAAAGTAAGTAGATGAAAATAATATTAATGTCTTTTATTTAAATTTTAACCCAAGATATCCAAAATATTATGCTTTGTTTGTTTGTGGGTTTTTTGGTTTGTTTTGTTTTATTTTTTTGAGACAGGGTCTTGCTCTGTCGTCCAGGTTGGAGTACAGTGGCACAATCATAGCTCACTGCAGCCTCAACCTTCTGGGCTCAGGCAATCCTCCCACCTCAGCCTCCTGAATAGCTGGGACTACAGGTGTGAGCCACTGTACCTGGCCCCAAAACATTATAATTTCAACATGTAATCAACATTTAAAAATTACTGAGAAATTGGCCAGGCACAGTGGCTTCTGCCTGTAATCCCAGTGCTTTGGGAGGCCAAGGCGAGTGGACCACCTGAGGTTGGGAGTTTGAGATCAGCCTGACCAACATGGAGAAACCCCATCTCTACTAAAAATACAAAATTAGCCAGGCGTGGTGGAGCATGTCTGTAATTGCAGCTACTTGGGAGGCTGAGGCAGGAGAATCGTTTGAACCCGGGAGGTGGAGGTTGCTGTGAACCGAGATCGCACTACTGCAGATGCTAGCTGAGGGGTGGAGGGCTCCTCCTTGGCAGTGAGGAACAGCCAGTGGCCTCAGGAGGCAGGCCCAGAGATTCCAGCCTCAGACCATCCTGGGCTGTCTCATATCTCAATGAATGATTCTGAAATGAGGACACAGGCTAGGAGTAGGGATGGCTTGCCGCTAAGTGGCCCAGAGGAAAGACTGAAAGGGCTCTTCCTTGGGCAGTCTACTCTGGTGGCTCCGAGCACAGCCACTGACCACCTGTGTGGCCATTGACAGATCTCACAACTTCTCTGTCAGGTGAGGGGAGAGCTGCCTTGATAAGGTGTATAATGTGCTCTGTTTAGAGCTGGCTCACAGTGAGTCCTCAGGAAGGTGTCTGTCATTACAGGTGGTGTCGCTTTTGCACAGGGCCAAGTCAGACTCTCCTGCTCCAAGCACAGCAGTGAGTACGGCCATGACCCATCACTGTGGTTACTCACACACACATGTACAGTGTCACTGCATAAAGCAACACAATCCATAACGAGAACCATTTTAAAGTTTCAACACATATGGAGAAGAGAATCATTAGCTTCCATATCCCCAATGTACCTTTGTCCCAAACCCCTGAGACCCTCCAACAGTTCCTCTGGGCTTTGTGGGTTCAGTCCTAGGCAGAGACTCCAACTGGTACGGGTACAAGCCCTTGAGATTGCAGGTACCAGGAAAGTAGCTTCCTGACCTGTAAGCATCACAGGAGGTAAAGCGAGACGAGGAGCTTCCACTATCTTGGAGGACATCTTTCTTATAACATGTTTTGTTTTGTTTTGTTTTTTCTTTTGAGATGGAGTCTTGATCTGTCACCCAGGCTGGAGTTCAGTGGCCCAATCTCAGCTTACTGCAACCTCCGCCTCCAGGGTTCAAGCAATTCTCTTGCCTCAGCCTTCTGAGTAGCTGGGATTACAGGTGCCCGCCACCATGTCTGGCCAGTTTTTGTATTTTTTTTTTTTTTTTTTTTTTTTTTTTTTTTTGGGGGGACGGAGTTTCGCTTTTGTTACCCAGGCTGGAGTGCAATGGCGCGATCTCGGCTCACCGCAACCTCCACCTCCTGGGTTCAGGCAATTCTCCTGCCTCAGCCTCCTGAGTAGCTGGGATTACAGGCACGCGCCACCATGCCCAGCTAATTTTTTTTGTATTTTTAGTAGAGACGGGGTTTCACCATGTTGACCAGGATGGTCTCGATCTCCTGACCTCGTGATCCACCCGCCTCGGCCTCCCAAAGTGCTGGGATTACAGGCTTGAGCCACCGCGCCCAGCCTCAGTTTTTGTATTTTTAATAGAGACAGGGTTTCACCATGTTGGCCAGGCTGGTCTCAAACTCCTGACCTCAAGGAGTGATCCACCTACCTTGGCCTCCCAAAGTGCTGGGATTACAGGCATGAGCCATTGCGCCTGGCCTCAACTATGCTTTTTTTTTTATCCCATGAGACCAAGAGGTTCCAGAAGTCTTCCTCTGGGGATGCTGCCTCGCACATCAGCTGGAGCTCTCCTGCCCTGCCTCCCAAGTCCCAGGGTGCTGGATGTTTGACAGGAGCACTCTCCTTGGAAGCTGGGACAGTCCCTCATGCACACAGCTGGGAGACCCTGCAGGAGTGTCTTGCCCTGAAGCATCTTTGGATAAAACCTGTTTCACCTCTGTGGATTCTCCAGGTGACTGAAGCTTGCCCTAAACATCCACACTTGAAAAGTAAAATGTCTAATGATAGCTTTCCTAATCTGTCTTATTTATGATGGGTGGCACTTCAGAGGAAAGTTGGGAAAGCCACAGGCTGAAGGTGCTCAGCTGTGTGGACTCACCTGTGTCACTGGGCTAGACCTTTATTCCTGCCTCTAATTCTCACAAGCTTCTCCCTTCACTAGGCCACCATCCTGCCACATGGATAATCTCCCTGAGTAATCGCACCTCTGGCCACAGCCTTCCCCTATTCAAACCCTGTGACAGCTCCAGCCACCTGTGGAAAAGCCGAGGCCTCAGCCAGGCCACAGGGCCCATTCAGCCCCTGTGATTTCTTTTCTTCTTCTTCCTGAGACCCTCAAACCCCCACAGTAGTCAGATGTTCCTGGTGTGGGTCACATCTTCAGTCCCACTGTTACCTCTGCCAGGAGTACCTCTGCTCATCCTACTGCCAATCCTTTAACCCCAGCCAGCTCAGTGCCCAACTCCAGCTTAAGGAAAAGTTCCCCTTCACCCCCATCCTGGCCCCCTCTGAAGGTCTCCTCTCTCTGGACCTCACATTACTTAGGACTATGGCTTCTCTCTCTTTCTGGGTTGAGGGTGCTGAGCCCCAAGGCCATCTATGACTAATTTCTTCCAGGCTATTCCTCCTTACCATGGTGCACATGGCAAGTGCTTAATACCACCTGCTCATACTGGCCTTACAGCCACAGCCTGGAACCCTGTGGGGGTTTCAAGATGTGTAAATGTGTGTGATTATAAAGAACATGTGACCAATGATCCTTCTCGATCCCAATTCCAGGAGCAGCACGCCAGGAAACGTGGTCTTTGTCTCCACAAAGCTGGCTCTCAGCCTCTCTCCTCGCACAGTCCCCATGCTGAGCCCACCTCCTGCCTGGCCCTCTTCCTCCATCCAGCTCAGTGCTTGGTGTGTGGATCCTGGCTCTGGGCCCCCTCAGCAACTGTGGCTCAGACTCACGCCTAGATCCTTTCACTCTTGACAATGTCTATGGTCACTGTGCCAGCTTAGCCAGGCTTACCCTGCCCTGGCACCCATGAGGAGGGTTTCCAACGTTTCATTGACTGTCTTTACATACCGTTTCCTCTAACTGGGCAGCTTCTCCATAGATGTTTGTCACGAGGACCATATTGCAGTTTCCCCCTGCAGAAAGCAAGACAGAAGGGACTGTGAACCATGTGGTTTTTCTGCCCCAAAGGAGCTGGTAGGGTCTGTTATACACTAAATGTTTTTTGTTTTTTTGAAACAGGGTCTCACTATGTTACCCAGGCTGGAGTGCAGTGACATTATTATAGCTCACTGCAGCCTCAATCTCCTGGGCTCAAGCAATCCTCTTGCCTCAGCCTCCCAAGTAGCTGGGACTACAGGTGCACGCCACCACACCTGGCTAATTTTTTTTATTTTTAGTAGAGACAAGGTCTTGCCATGTTGCCCAGGCTGGTCTTGAACTCCTGGCCTCAAGCAATCCTCCTGCCTCAGCCTCCCAAAATGCTGGTATTACAGGTGTGTGCCACCACACCTGGCCAGGATTGAATGTTTTTGTCCTTACAAAATTCATATGTTGAAGTCGTAACCCCTGATGTGATGGTATTCGGTTGTGAAGACTTTGAAAGTGGGAGGTAATTTGGTTTAAAGTCATGAGGGTGGGGCCCCCATGATGGGGTTAGTGTCCTTATAAGAAAAGAGACCAGGGCCCTCTCTTTCTTTCCATGTGAGGATACAGCAAGAAGGTGGCCATCTGCAAGCCAGGAAGAAGGCCCTCACTAGGCATTGAATCTGCTGGCACTTGGATCTTGAACTTTCCAGTCTCCAGAACTATGTGAAATAAATGCCTACTGTTTTTAAGCCAATTAGTTTATTGTATTTTCTTTCTTTCTTTCTTTCTTTTGAGACAGAGTTCCGCTCTTGTTGACCTGGCTGGAGTACAATGGCGCAATCTTGGCTCATTGCAACCTCTGCCTTCTGAGTTCAAGCGATTCTCCTGCCTCAGCCCCCGAGTAGCTGGGATTACAGGCATGTGCCACCATGCCTGGCTAATTTTGTATTTTTAGTACAGGCGGGGTTTCTCCATGTTGGTCAGGCTGGTCTTGAACTCCCGACCTCAGGTGATCTGCCTGCCTCGGCCTCCCAAAGTGCTGGGATTACAGGTGTGAGCCACTGTGCCTGGCAGTTTATGGTATTTTCTTACAGCAGTCTGAAATGAGACAGGGTCAGAGATGACATATACATCTGTGAGGCTGGGAGGTAAGAGGAAGAGTGAAAGAGGCCACCAGATGTATCTAAAAGAGGATCCAGGAGGAAACAGCAGAGGAGAGATGATACAGGGCAGGGAGGGGTGGGGCAGGAGAGGGAGGTGTGAGTGGGAGCTTTGCTAAGGGTGGCACTCAGATAACCATCAGACACTAGTGACTGTATTGTCAGGCTCAACACAAAGGCCTAGGGCCATGGGGATGATAAGACACAGTCCCTGCTGCTCTGTCCAAAAGGTTGCAGGGAAAAGGAAGACACCATGGGAGAGAGGCCCTCACCCCAAGTCTTCAGGCTGTGAAGGATTCTGCCAGCGGTCCCCTCGGGACAAGGGGAAAAGAGGTTTCCCAGGACAGGTAAAAGCCTAAGGAAGGTTGTGAGGAGTGAATAGCATGGTGTGTTCTGGGCACAGGGCTTGATTCTGCCTTTCCAGGTGTCTGAAGTCACTTCGAATGTGCTGCAGATGAATCCATGCCACCAGGAGGGAGCAATTTTATTATTGTCAGTGACAGGTGTGCCAAAACTGTTCCTTCCCAAAGACACAGACCCTCCTCCCTGGGCAGCAACTGTACCCCCTCACCTAATGAGTCCTTCAGAGAATGGGTGAGCTTGCACTGCCGAAAGGGGATATGGTCCCGCTTCTGGTCCCCGAGGGCAATGATGGCCTGCTCCAGGAACGACAGCGATTTGTTGATGTAGGTGGCTTCCTTCAGTACTCGGCCCTCAGACTACAAAGCAAAGGTCAGTTCTACTTTGAATGCAATAAAGTAACTGCCCCACTAAGAATAGCAGTCTTTGGCTGGGCGCGGAGGCTCACACCTGTAATCCCAGCACTCTGGGAGGCCGAGGCGAGCGGATCACCTGAGGTCAGGAGTTCAAGACCAGCCTGACCAACATGGAGAAACCCCATCTCTACTAAAACTACAAAACTAGCCAGGTGTCGTGGCGCATGCCTGTAATCCCAGCTACTTGGGAGGTTGAGGTAGCAGAATCACTTGAACTTGGGAGGAGGAGGTTGTGGTGTGCCATTGTACTCCAGCCTGGGCAACAAGAGCAAAACTCCATCTCAAAACAACAACAAAAAAAGAATAGCAGTCTTCCTGGTCTGGAGAAATGCTATAAGTCTGTAGTCAGGTCACAGACTCCTTCCCAGAACCAGGGTCCTCCCTCAATGTCATGGGATTGTATTCCATCTTGGGCTAACAGTGGTAATACCAAAACTCAGAAATACTCACGTGAAAACTCATGTGAATGCTTATGCAAATGTGAATGCTTATATGAACATTCATATGGACAACCACTCAAATATTCACACTAACATGAACATGCACTGGAATATTTGTCCAGATACTTAAGCAAAGAATCCCGTGAATATTCACTCACTCATGAATGCACATACAAACGCGCATCTGAACACTCGTGTTAATGCTTGTGCTAATACACTCATACAAATATTCATTTGAAATAATCATGCAAATCCTCATATGAATACTCATATTCATTCACAAAGAAGCCAGGTGTAGTGGCTCACGGCTGTGATCCCAGCACTTTGGGAGGCCGAAGCAGGAGGATTGCTTGAGCCCAAGAGTTCAGCCTTGGCAACATAGCAAGACCCCATCTCTACAAAAAAAAATTAAAAATTAGCCCATCATGGTGGTACACACCTGTGGTCTCAGATACTTGGGAGGCTGAAGTGGGAAGATCACTTGAGCCTGGGAGGTCAAGGCTGCAGTGAGCCGTGTTTGCGCTACTGTATCCCAGCCTGGGAGACAGAGCAAGACTGTCTCAAAGTAACAACAACAAATACACACACAGAGAAATGTTATACTAGCAAGGAACATTTACTAAGCATTGAGTGCCAGGCACTTTGCTAAGAATATAGAGGGCACTATCTCACTTAATGTTTACAAAAGTCCTCTGAGGTAGGAACTGCCCCTCGGTAACAGCCATTCCAACTTTGCCAATCCTGCCCATCCAGCAAGTCCACATTTCCCACTTGGCCTAGCTCAGGACTGTGTTCACAAATATCCAGCAAGTAATGGCCCAAATGTGTGGGCACTGTGCCAGGAAAAGGGCTCATAGCTTACTGAGCAGCAACTCCAGCCCCCGTCACTTACCCCAGACTTCCCCAGCCTCTCCGAGCCTGCCAGATCCACCAAGTTAATTTTGGAAGTGATGTACTTTTCCTCTGATAAGGTCCGGGAATGGGCCTACAGAACATCCAGGCAGAAGTTAGACTGTCACAGGGAGAAGTTTCTGACTAAACAGGCCCCATGGGAATTGACTGCCCAACCTGGGCTGATCAAGGAGCTTGTACCTACCTCCAAGTAGATGGTGAAAATGCAGTGAGATCTGGAAGAGTTCTTGTTCATAGTGTGGGAGGCTATAATCCTGTTGGTCTCGCCCTGAAGAGGAAGGGAATCATAGACAACATTGTGAAAAACTAAAATGACAAGGCATTTGGGTCATTTTTCAGTTATACTGATAGCTACACAAGTGGTCTCATATCTCTGCAATCAGCTGGGCTTCCAGGCAAACCTCTTTTATAAACTAATAGAAAGGGAGTCAAATTGGAGTCCACATCTACACTTTCACCTGCTGCTGGGGATGTGTGAATTGCTATAGCTTTCTGGAAAGCAAAGTGACAATAAAAAATCAAGAGCCTTGTGCCAGGCATGGTAACTCACGCCTGTAATCCCAGCACTTTGGGAGGCCGAGGTGGGTGGATCACCTGAGGTGAGGAGTTTGAGACCACCCTGGCGAACAGGCTGAAACCCTGTCTCTACTAAAAATACAAAAATTAGCTGGGTGTGGTGACTTTTCCTATAATCCCAGCTACTCAGGAGGCTGAGGCAGAAGAATTGCTTGAACCCGGGAGGCGGAGTTTGCGGTGAGCCGAGATCCTGTCATTGTACTCCAACCTGGGCAACAACAGCAAAACTCTGACTCAAAAAAAAATCAAGAGACTTCAAAATATTTATGAATATTGAATCAGAATCAACCTGCATGTCCAACAATTTGGGAATGATCTATGTGTACAATGGAATATTAGGCAGCCAGGAAAATGCTGACACAAAGTTTTTTTTTTTTTTTTTTTTTTTTTTTTTTTTTTTTTT